GGATCGTCTTAATTTATTTGCCAGCAGTCGGCTTTCGGCCAAGTAAAATAAATCAGTCGTAACTTCTTCACCTAATGTAGTGAAGCAATTAACATCAACGTCATTTTCAGCACCCTCGAGTTGTGGTAAAAAGGTCTGGACTATTCCCACCTCTCGTTCCCACCGCTGCAACTCCTGTGTATCCAGGATCGACAGCTTAACCGCCATAAAAACTAAATCAATGAAGGTCAAGTTTGTCCCGGGGAATGTTAAACTGTCATTGGTAAAAAGGTGGCTTCCAGTTTTCTCCAATCATCTTATATCGAGCAAGAAGTGTCTTATGAATCCTACTCTACGTTTGCAAAGAAGTGGTCAACCTTCGAGAATTCTTATATTATGTATATTTATAATAACTTTCCTCTAACACTATGAGAAAGTCCCATTTGAAACCAATTATACCTTTACCGCTGGCCTGATCGGATCGTCTCAATTTATTTGCCAGCAGTCGGCTATCGGCCCAGTAAAATAAATCAGTCGTTTCAACGCGCAGACGTTTACTCGCCGTTGACACGTCGTTAGCTGTTAGGCCTGGTGCAGACTTGGCGAAAATAAAGTGGCTGGATTAATAAATTCTGAGAAATAAAAAGTCTTGGACATTTTACACAGCGCCATCTAGTCTCAAACTAAGCAAACAGTACCATGTAGAGACTACAGACAAGGGTAATGAACTGTGACCAGTGGCATAGTTGTAGCCCAGTGAGGTCACTAGGCGAGGCGGTTAAAAGAAAGAACGGAAATTTGAATGAAGCAAAGAAACCACTCGGTGGACTGACGACCTAGTGAAAATCGCGAGAAGCACCTGGATGCGGGCAGCGCAATCGTTGTGGAAATCTTGGGAGGAGGTCTTTGTCCAGTAGTGGACGAGAGCTTAGGTTGAAACGACGAAGAAAACTGTGACTTTTAAAGTTCATCCCAGTAGGTAACTGAGTGACATTTTAGTTATTTTTGTCACAAAATTAGTTTTGCTTGTGTGGAAATGCAGTCAGTCTAGCCCAAAAGGTGCTATGTCACGTTAATTTATTGTGGTTTAGGACATTTATTTTTGTTTTGTGAATCTGTAGCAAAAGTTAAGTTACATTTTTAATTCTTAAAAATTTTACGTACCTGATTTTAGTGTGCACCTGCCCTAATCGTAATCTTCGCTCAGAATTAGCCGGAACAGTTTGCAAGTTTCTGGAGGGCTCTTTAAGAAATGATGTAACTTTAAGAATTCAGGCCTTTATGTGTATCTATTTTAGAAGATTTAGTACCAGATAGCAATTAAAATTTTGATTGCGATGTTACACTGTAACAGCATTTGCAACTATGTTCAATAGCGTGTAACTTGTACACTCTTAATGCTTTTTTATAGTCTTTGATTTGTTTTGTACAACCATTTATTAAAATACGACTAAACATCAATCTATTTAATTGCAAAATCACCCCTGTTAAAACTACAAAAGTGAAGTACAATACATCTTCAAGTGCTGTTTCCTAACAAAAATACATACAAAACCCAATTCGAATTATGGTGTGTGGATTCTAATTTAATTATTATGATTGACATAATCTATGTATTTTAATCTAACTAATCAAAATAATTTCTAATCAAAAAATAAAAAGAATTCAGACATTATTTAGCTATAAAAACTGTATTTTTATTTACCCAGATTAAAGTTTTTGAATTTTAACAGTTAAGTGATTAAGAACTAATAACTATACAGATTTCCACGTTTATATTATTATAATTATTAGTAGTATAATAAACTTCACACTAACTGGTCATTCGGCTTCTATAAATTAACATTCATAGCTTACTTAGCTCTCATTACGTGGTATTTCTCGAAACTCTAAGTAACCGGGGTAATCTGCACCATTCGTTACTTCCCACTCGAAATAAACTTAAACCACAGTAGAAGTAAAGGTATAATAGTAGACAAAGGAACAATAAGTTACTTTTTTATATTATTTTACTAGCCTTTAAGCGCTTGTCCCTCGTCTAAAAACCGGGATATAAACTATGATTTGTTTTTTCCTGGACCTCATAGTGTTATAAACATCCAACCATTCGTAAAATACAAGTAGGATAGTAGAAAAGTAGGGTATTTTACGCTTTGATTAGACGAAATACCTATCCGAAAATTCTAGACTCTATAAGTAGACTAGACACTGATAATGGAGAAATTACGTATATAGATACCGAATTAGAATAAAATGCAAGCACTATACTAGACATTTTTGTTATTAATATCACTTTTAGAATCTGCATCCTTATGCAGATTCCTTAACCACGGTGTTTATAGATAAACAATTCGCATCTATTCGTAGGTATAATATTATTAGATGCGAATTTTTCCATACGTTCATCGTAGTGTAGATACTCCTAGAATATAATGATGATAACGATGACAGCGATAATGATCATGATGTTGATGGGTGAATATCAACAAACTCGTTTTTTGCCTAATTCCGGTGGCGAATTTTAATTTCCACTTTCCAAAACTTTTTTGTGGCAGAAATAATAGTAAATAACTTGTATTATTCAATGATATGGTAGAGATCAAAATATTATTAATACTTCTCGAGATATGTCAATTTGAAATTATCAAGAGCCACCGAAATTGTATTTGAGCCACCGGAATTAAGAATCAATCCACCGAAATTTATTTATACAGCGGACTTCGGAATGTTACGGATGATTGTCTCAAATTACTTATTTATTTGTAATCAATTAAGTCGTCGAAACTAATAGACGTAGACTAATAAATTTACATTCGTTTTGTAGAATAGCTCAAACACTAAGAATACAATGCAAAAAAAACATACTTTAACGACCTGGTTTTTCTTGTGTTGGAAAATAACTGAAAAAGAAGTGAAAAAAGTCATGTATTTTTCTAATTAAATCCATTCTTACTCCCATAAAATGTATGAAACTTGTGTCTGTTTTCTACTTCTACTAATACATAATTTTATTGGCTTTCGCATGATATAAAATATTTGCTTTTTAATGTTAAGCTAGCCACGCTTTCACTTGTTTTTGAAGGAAGAGGTGAAAACTAAAAATTAAAAACTTAAATCCTTGTGATTTTGCGATAAATGGGTCAAGCCCCAAATTTGAAGTATTTTCGTCGATAAAATTGTCTTTAGATTACGCCCTTAAAGTTTGATCACTACATGCCCGGACACACTGTATATCTATCATCTTAGTATGTATTTATTTATTATATTATTTTATATATTATTTATGTATTGTGTTTAAGTAGCTTATTTGTTTTGCCGTCGCTTTGTTTTATTTAATTTTTGTTATACCGCCAAACTAATCTTTCTGCATAACCCAAAGGTAAACTGGATGAGAATGCCTTATGGCATTAAGTTCGCCTAATGTTAATATTTTTGGCATTGAAGTATAAATAAATAAATAAATAAATCTAATTAAAGACTTACGCCATTAACATTCTTAGTTACCAATATAAAGTTTAGGTAAATGATAAAATAAATAATAATAATAAATGTGGACAACATCACGTCATACATTGTTCTGATCCCAAAGTAAACGAATCGAACCCGGGACCTCAGAACTAGCGATGTCATGAAAATCGGTGGGTACACCACTCGACCATGGAGGTCTATAGGTGAATTCATTGCTCGCAAGTGTAATGTGTAATAAGATATGGATATGTTAAGTTGACAGAAATGGGTTCGCACCTCAGATCATAGAAAGAGAATAGATATGAAGTCGCGCGTAACTACAACGAGAACCAGTGTCCCCACATTTCCCCCACCACAGCTCCCACACACACATTCAACTGTGTAAAAACAAAGCGACTGAGAGTCTACGACAACATGTGCAACCGGCTTAAAAGTGCTGTGATTGGCAAATGAAGGCATGCCTTATGGCCAATCAATGGCCGCGTGACGTGACGCACACATTGAAAACGCTAGTGAGAGAACAAAGATAAAATGTAGTCGACAAGATATCGATACTCGAAATTGAAAAATTTTGTATTCCTGTGCCGCTGATACAAATATTTACGGGTCTGCTGGAAAAACAATACCACAAGTCGCAAGTCTTTATAGCCCGATCAGGAGGACACAGTTGAGTGATGCAGGGAAGAAGAACTCTACGTCTCTCAAAGCTTCTTTGGAGAAGTAAGAGAGTGTCGAAATTGAGCCACTGTAATTGCTTTTTTTCGTGGGACAGTTTTGAAAGGCTATTTAAAACACTTAAAATATGAAATATCACATTTCTTTCATATCATTTGGAAGTCTTATTTAATGTATTTTATGGCTATACTATTTTTAAGTTACTAGAATACCCGAGAAAGAAGGAATAACACAATTTATGAGTAGAAATAGAGTTAGGACGCGCCACCGCTATTAGATTTTGGGTCTTTGAAAATTTTTTTAGTACATAAAATAACTACCTATTGTCCTGAAGACTTTGCTATCGTGTAAAACGCTGTATAAACTATATACAGAAAAAAAATCATCGCTCTAGTTACATTTCTCCCATCGATTCTCAGCTCCGCCGCGTAAAAAATGTGTTTGGGATATTCACCCTGATAACGATAATGAGAATAAGATGAGTCAACAGAACATGAACTATTTTTATCAGATACGGAATCAGAACAGAGTGATTCTACTGAAATCATTTTAACTGTGCCCGAATAAAGACTACGGACCCTATTAGAAGGATGCTTGAACAATAATTAAATGCAAATGAAGCGATATCTGCCAGCGATTGTTTCAATTGGATCACTGGATGTGATAAATATTGTTTACTACGCGATATTTTGCGTAAGTGTTGATACTATGGATATTATAATAATTACGTCACGATTTCTGCAGCTTTACCTAAATGCTATAACTAAGGCTGATGTACAGCAAAAGAACTGTAATTTTGTAGCTGAATTTGATAGTTTCAAAGCAATCATATTCTCCAATGAAACGCTGGCCGTAGCAGAAGAATATGAGCCTCAAGCATGCTCTGGAACCTCCAAGGAAAACGCAAATATGGCCGCCCGAAACAAACTTGGCGGCGCACTGTTGCAGACGAGGCGAAGAAGATCGGTAAGACTTGAAGCGAGATCAAACGCGAAGCTCAAGACCGAACGCGATGGAGGACAGTTGTGGACACTCTCTGCCTCATCTAGGGGACATAGGACCTTAAGTCGAGTAGTCATGAGCCCCTCGACTCAGAGGTTTTGGATTCGATTGTAAGTGTGGGATTGTGTATATGCTCACACTTAGGATACTGTGGGCTTCGGTTGAGCCCCGCATAAGCTATCTTAGCCCCGCAGGGTTAAAAAGAAATCGGATCTAAATCCAATCAGGTAAGTCAATGGTACCTCTATAAAAGTACGTGGTAAAATTTTTGTCATAGTCATATTATTATCATAATCTAGTTTTCAATTATCACGATGTTGTAGGTCTAAATCTCTCACTCGCCAGTCACTCAAGTGAGTGAGAGTGCCTCGAGTGAATGACTGAACAGTATGCAGGTTTCACTCTATAAATCTGCAAAAATATTCTTAGATAAACACAGGCGAGGCGCCGCGGTGGGATCTTAGATGGAATAATATTGGATATGGTATTAATTTTTTAAAAGACTACATCTGAAATTTTTTGGTGAAGAGTTACGAATCTTATTTTTTAATGTCAGTCAGTCATTAAAAAATGGAGAAACTTCTCCCGTTTTCCCAAAATTTCCCTTCACTACTCTGCTCCTAAGTAAACTATAACCTGCCAAAAATGCAATCAGTAAATTTTTTGTCTGTCTGCCTGTCTGTCTGTCTGTCTGTCTGTATGTTCCTCCAGGAGTATGAAGAATAATTGTACCAAGTTTCGTTAAAATCCGTCGAGTAGTTTTTGTTTCTATAAGGAACATACAGACAGACAGACAGACAGACAGGCAGACAGACAAAAAATTTACTGATTGCATTTTTGGCATCAATATCGATCACTAATTACCCCCTGATAGTTATTTTGAAAATATATTTAATGTACGGAATTGACCTCTCTACAGATTTATTATAAGTATAGAAGATGTTATAGGTTTCCAAACGCGTGCCAAATCATCCTCAAAAATTGATTAAAACATCTATTACTGCGAGTCTACTACCATTACAAGATTAGTTAGTCACTTTAGTGTAGGCAGGGTTACCTACTAGGTAAACCTACGATCTGGTGAAGGCCGCGGCAAGCCCTGTAAGCGGAAAGAGCAGGACCAGTCGCTGTCTAATACTTGGAAGCCTTCGTCCAGCAGTGGACGCTTAGACTGAAAATACTAGACTATCATCTACTTATCCATAGTAATTTATTATAGTTCAATCTTAATCAGTATCAATGGTGAAGGTCGCAGGAAGTGCTTGTATGCGAGATTCGTCCAAATATTCGACCAGTTGTTATGGAAATCCTGTGGAGGTCTTTGTCTGACTGCTGACATATTAGTTTGTCGGCCGTTTGGTGTAGTGGTTCAGAACGGACTACTATGCCGAGAGGTTCCTGGTTCAATTCCCGGCCGGGCAGAAATTGAAATGATGAATTTTAATTTCTGTGACGGGTCTGGGTGTTACTATGTATAATATGTATGTATTTAAAAAAAAGTATATAAGTAGTATATCCGTTAAGCTAGCACCCATAACACAAGCATATTAATTGCTTACTTTGGGGCTAGATGGCGCTGTGTGAGATTGTCCAAAGATATTTGTTATTATATTTATTAGTTGAAATTCAAATTGTATTCTTTCTAATGCCGCATCAAATCTTCCCACATCACCCCACATTCTTCAGACGACGGTAGCGCGACAAAGTTTAGCCTCAAAGGAAGGTATTTGCATAAGATCTTAAAACAGCAATCGACCGATCGCCGCGTTTCACGGCGAGTCAACATCGGGTGCGCGGGAGTTTATTCTACCGCCACGGGATAATTATGGGCTGTTTGGTTTACACCTCTGTCGGGTGCAGATATAAATGGATGGAAATGACTTTTTGACGCCACTTTTTATGATTCTATAGTCAGGATTACGTGTGGTTCTGGCAGAATAGACAAGACCACTCCATGAAAGTTGAAGGCAACTAAGAGAAAAATATGCGAAATTCAACTTGTCTTTCCAGTGCGGGGAGTTTAGGCCAAATCTTCTATTTGTCTGTGGTAAATTGGACATTGGTTTGTTCTTGAAATGGAGACAAAATGACCTGATGATGATGACTCGAAAAAAATGTAAATCTCCACTGACCGCCAATTTGTCATTCTCTCAACAGACTGTTAAGTCCACGAGTGATTCGCCATTTCTTAAGATCCACTTGGGAATCGAACTCGAGACCTTTAACGAAAGATAATTTTAACTTCTTATAATTAGATCACGAAGGCCTGAGTTTAAAAAGATGGAGGAAAATAAGCCATGCCTATGGAAAACAAGATAAGAACAATATGCCGTTTACCGATAAATTATTTCAGTTAGGTAAACAAAAAATAGGACCTAATTCACCTCAAGCGTGTCTTACATAAAAATTGTCGCAACACCTACTTAACCGGATTGCCTGTTTATTTATTTTGTACGTAATAGCACTTGCAATAGCTATTTCAATCAGCAAAAGGTTGGCCCTAGATCTAATTACGGGTCCCGCACGCGAGATGGCGTGATTGCACGAATGTACCTTTATTGATGCTAATGAAAATTGGGATTAGGTAGAAATAAGGGGTAATCTTTGATTATTAGTTTTAGTTTTGGTCTAACTAGTGTCTAAGTCATACGGTCGTGCCTTTGTTTAGAAAGTTCTAGAAAGTCATCGAATTTGAAAATTAGGTATTAGCCAACGACCCACCGACACTGCCTGGGGACTTGGTTTCAGCGGCATCATTTTAAAAGTCATAAAAGTCGTTCATTTTCTGCAAATAAGTAGGCTTATAAAAAGCGCGTCCCACTATTACTTTATTTATTAAAAATTTAAAGCATTCTCGACCAGTTTACCTTCGGGTTAGCCTAGGCGCAGACCACCGATTTTTAGTTGGTCGATAGTTGGGTCGGGCTGTTAATCAGTATGGAGATGTATGAAAGTGCGCATATACACCGATTTGGTATCGGTCAATTCTTCATATAAATTAGAATCGAACCCAACTATCAGCCAATTTGAAGTTGGTAGTCTGCGCCTAAGATAAAGCAGAAAAAACCCGTTTGGCAGTACTGAAAAAAATACTTTAACCACTTTAAAATAATTTTCAAATTGTGGCAGCATTTGGAGAAACACTCGAATAACACACGTCACCTATACAGGGTGATAAGTAAATGGGTATAAGAGCCGACACTAGCCCATGTTAACATGGGCATATAAATGGTATGGTAAAGTCAGAAAATTGATACCTTCATTTTAATTATTTTAATTTTCATACAAATCGGATTTTATAAAATTAATTGTGTATGAAAATTAAAAAAATTAAAATGATGATATCAAATTTTTGAATTCACCATACCATTTATATNTTGATACCTTCATTTTAATTATTTTAATTTTCATACAAATCGGATTTTATAAAATTAATTGTGTATGAAAATTAAAAAAATTAAAATGATGATATCAAATTTTTGAATTCACCATACCATTTATATGCCCATGTTAACATGGGCTAGTGTTGGCTCATGTAGGTACCCATTTACCTAACACCCTGTATAGAATCGGAGTCAATCAATAGTAAGTGCCGCCGTGTTGATAGCACATCATAAACTGCCAAAAAAGTTGCTCATTTCGTATCACCAGAAAAGATGCTAAATTCGAACGAGATGTGAAGTTGCCGCCTAACCCTGCAAAAATGCCGATGGGTTTCGTGTAGACTGCATTAGGCGTGCAACCACATGGTTTCAGTCCATCCCGGTGGATCTATTATAAACTGATAGCTACAACCACGCTACCTAATGCGCGGTTGGCCTTGTTAAAACTGGCGCTACAATTTTCAGGGATCAAAATAATGCAACTTATAATGACGTTACATTGTCGATACAAGCACTTGTATCATTAACAGGGAAGCCAAATTAAAAGCAAACATTTGATTTTTGTTTTTCTAATAACAAGTGAAATCCGGTCCCTAGTCGGTACTCCAGAAATTTTCTGCCACCAGTTTTATGAGCTATGTGTCTCGCTCACTGCCACTATCCAGCAGTGAGCAGGATTCGGTTGAAACGAAACTAACAGCGAAATTTCAAAGAATTTGACCCGTATTATTTACTGCTGTATTAGGCTGTATTTACGTTACACCTATTCGGGAGACCAAAAGAGGAGTATTGGGACCATTGAAGGCGAAGGAGGAGAAGCCTACTTACAAGCCGGAGAAAATACTTTGCTAGCGCGATCTAAGTAAAGACAGCGCCATCTAGTTTCCAAAAAAGATATTAAGTCCTTGAACAATAATTTTGACAGACCGTTATGGTATGTCAATTGATTGGTATCTAAAGAGTCCTTAATATCCACATCCTTAACTCATACATCTTGATTCAATTAACAATCCAATCAAATCAACAAGATATTAATATCCAAATCACATCAAATACTATCGCTCTATTAAATTCAACGTAATTAAGCAAAATGCCAGTTAATTAATAACCCGCCCTAACAATGTGACGTTAAACCGTGGTATTGTTAGGATGTGTTTACCTGAGCTTAATATTGAAAACCCAATACCCATTTTTATATAAATATCGTATAAACACTTTTTTTTTTAGAAAATATTGATTGGACGGACAAACGGACATAGCATAATACGAGTAATTCATTTGACTTTTTATTTTGAATTTCACTTAGTTTTCGATTTCAGTTAAGGTGCAGGGTCACAATGTAGTCAAAGCAAAATGAAGCCTGCTTCAAGAATAACTACCCAATAGCTTTAGAATTCATGTTTTTTAACTAGGGTCTTTCTATCTTAATTCTTTCTCGAGAACGAACCAAATGGTGGATAACTCCTTTTGTATTTTATAAAGTCTAGTTTCACTTCAAGTCAATTTAAGTTAAAAATAACTTCTCTTTATAGCACCCTGTGAACGCAGCCTTACTAGCAAGATTGACATAGTTTAAATGGC